GATTTCGCCTACCCTCATCACCGTCTAAAGTTCATCGCACAGTCATGATTGTCAGGTAGTGTTTTATTTTTCATTTTTTTTCTACAGATCGAAATGATCTGAAATTTAGTGTATATATATATGTGAAAAAGTCTTCCCAACTCTTATAGGATAAAATGAGCAGTGATTTCGACTACCCTCATCACTGTCCATCCAAAGTTCATCGCACGGGCACGATTGTAAGGTAGTGTTTTATTTTTCATTTTTTTTCTATAAATTGGAATGATCTAAAATTTGGAGCGTGCGTACATATTAGTGACGTACGCCTAATAAAAATACAAAAACAATAATTCGTGAGACAATATTGATCAAAATACCCTTGAAAGTTTTTGGGGGTATTTTGGTCAATTTATTTAATGTAAAATATTTTTTGATATATTTCGTAGATTCACCTATTTTAGATGAACACACGCTCCAAATTTTATATCATTTTTATTTGTAAAAAAATGAAACTCTACCGGACAATCGTGACCGTGCGATGAACTTTGGACGGTGATAAGGGTAGGCAAAATCACTATTCATTTTTTGCTATAACATTTTGTAGTATCTTCTTATATATATATATATATATATATATATATATATGAGAAGTTTATATAGAGCCAACGCTCTAAACAATCAAATTTGGGCCTACCTAAAAACTTTTACTAGAAGATGTTGTTTTGATGCCCAAATATCCTCAAATTGAACATCTTGACATCAAGATGGATGGACATAAGAAAAAAATGGATTTCAACTATTATAAACAATGTATTTTGTAACGTATTTTTGGGCACTCAATTTTCAAGAATATCAAGTTTTCATAGATTTATCGATCTACATTATATTTGAAGCTTTAAACTTTATATATATATATATATGGCCGTGATCTGACTATCTCTACTATAGTATGAAGAAAAGAAAGAGAATAGAATAATAATAAAAAATAAATAAAGAATAAGAAAAATAAAGATAATAGAAAATAATATTCCAAAGCTTTTGTATATTCTCCGTTGCTTGTACGAATAAGTCCTATATTATAGAGTACATAACTTCAATCATAGGGATCAATTTCTGGTCATGTAGATTCATAATAATTTCGTAAAGCTTATGCATAAAGTTCCTTTAAATCGAGCTAACATCCATTAAGGCCGTTCATTCCATTCAAAGGATCTCCATTCTAGAACAGTAGGTGAGATTTTTATCTCATATCCTCCCCTTCTAGTGCATAGTAATAAGACGAATAATCTATGGAATAAAAAAATATTAAAATATGCTCATTATGTTATCAATTGCAGGGGCTGTTGTTTCTACAAGAAATCTCCAGCCAGCCTTCCTGCAAGAAGCGATATATAAGGAAAACAAGATTTTTTTCAGCAAACCAGGACTACTGGGCCGTAAAAGAGATGCCGCCACCGAGACTATTTTTTAGTCGATATGCTGAGCTATATGTAATGCTCAACGTGCACGTATGCGCCTGACTTAACCTTGGATGATATATGAAAGGGGTCTTTAGTTTTTTTTTTCAGGATATGCTAATGTGGATGTAAAAAATTTACTAAAACAACAACTTGCATAAATGAACATATAAACTCAGAAACTCTGATCAGGGTTAAGGACCCATATGTTTTTTACATAAAATGGACCACGTCAAGTGCAACGCGGGCCATTCATGAATTCTTTGCTCTGGAATCAAGAGCTTGTACTTTTCAAGGCAGTAAGTGGATTGTGTTGTAGTTCCTATCTTGACCCATGCCTCAGGTCCTTGCCCAGTAGACCTTAATTTTAGCACTTTTGACTTCTTTTGGATGCATTTGGTGTGTGTTGTTTGCTAAAAGCACCTTGCTTTTCCCATTCAGTTCACATAGGAACAAATCAGCTCAAAATGTCTTCAATTTTATTTGAAAACCCTAGAGTGGCCTTACAGTTCAGAGGGGCACATAGCATTAAGAGGTGAGATAGTTGGAAGTATGTACCGTAAAAGGGATCCCTTCTTTGCATATCTCATTGTCCTAAGACACCAAAAAATAAAAAACTACAGGGAAGGTCGATTTGATCCGTCAAGAAGCCCTAATAGAAAATGCATCTACAATGCAGTTGAGAGCAAAAAATAAAGAGTTTCGGCTCTTGGATTTGTGTTTGTGGCAGATGTGACAGCCCTGGAGTCCAAGGTTTGAATTTCCAGTATACCCGCCAAAAAAAGAAAGGAAAATCCTCATCCTGGGGGGAAAATATTCACTTTGAGGGAAGAAATGCTTGGAATTTTTCTGCAAGCAATAAAACACTAAGAAAAAAGGTGGCAGAAGTTTTGGTACAGAAGATAGTGGAGATGTGCTCATTTAATTTTTATAGAATATTGCTACTTTTTTGTGGTTTTAATCACAAACTTTTCCGTTCCTTTTTTGAAGGATAATAGTAGTTCTTTGAAAGGACCAACACACTTGTGACATAATAATGAAACCTCTACAGAGGCTAGTCTCTCATGATATGGTAATTACACCCTTGGCTTCTACTTCAAAAAATTGAATTCATTATCCTTCATGGGGTTCTTTTTTTCTTTTTATTATTGTTAACACACACATTCCCATTGATTTGTGTGAGAACCTTTACAAGTGTGGAGGAGGCCATACAAAATTGAGTCAATTTATAGACTTCATAATAATGATGAAATTAAAATTTTCAAATTTTCCTTAGAAACTTCGTTGGTCATAATGTTTCTATAGTTGTCCCTTCCTTTTTCTTGGGTAGGTGATTTCCCTTGTTTATTAATGAAAATCTCTAGGTCATTTCAACTTTTGAAAAGTTTTGCTGCAGATATTTTATCATAACAGGGTACAAAAGTCATATATGGAAATCAAAGAAGAGTTATTTGATGTGATTTGATAATAGGATAGAATGGTCGTAAGGGTACCCCATTTCACAAAATTTTGGGGGAATCCTAATGTTAACCTTGGATGTAACATCACTACATTCTTCTTCTGTACATGCCCAAGTCCAGTCCAAATATACCAGGTTTGAGGATGGTTTATACTAGCATTTGCATCTCAATCTCTTCCTGATCTTCATCTCTGGTCTCATATGAAATCGAACGGTAACCTTTGGCGCATATAACATAAATAACAAAATCTATGGCTGTTAAAGCAGCTAATAGGAAGTAGAACTTATCCATGTGACCTTGGTTTAGGTTTTCAGCTATCCAACCAGCCTTGTGGTCCTTCCTAGTGATCCCCATAACAATGCCCACTAAAAAGCTGCTAAAATAGTTCCCAAGAGACATTGAAGTCATACAAAGGGCATTACCGAAGCTCTTTAATCCATCCGGGGCTTGTGCATTGAAAAACTCTAGTTGCGCAATATACATGAACACCTCTGAGGCCCCTATCAGTACATATTGAGGGATTTGCAATAGTATACTTAAAGAACTTGGTTTGTCAACTTCTTTCACATATCTAAGCCTAATTAGTTCTATGAAACCTGCTGATATCATGGCCACAATTGCGGTGATCAATCCCAGTCCCATCCGTTGAAGCTCTGTGAGTCCTGTAGGGTTCTTTCTCACCCTATGGAGACAAGGGATGAAAAGCTTCCTGTAGAAGATAATGAAAGCTGTTGCACTTAATATATCAAACGTGGACATGCTTGCAGGTGGGATGTGGAATCCCGAGATGTCGGTTTTCATGGCTGCTGCTTGTTCTACAAAGAGGGAGGCCATTTGTGTAAAGACAACATAGTAGATAATGGTGCAAAGCCAAATGGGAAGTAGTCGTAGTATGCATTTCACTTCTTCTACCTGTGTTACTGTGCACAAGAGCCATGGATCATGAAAAGGTCGGTCCTTTGTGAAATTATTTTCAGTCATGATGGCTGCTTTGTCCAAAAACCTAAGGATCATGAGAAAATCAAGAGCATGAGCACATCAAGTGATCAAAAGACTCAAGGCATCCTTTGAACGCAACATTAATATATGTTACTAGGGGAAACATTTTTATGATTCCCATTATACATACAATTTATTTATGTCTAGTGACTAACAACCATCCACTCTTGATTGGTTGACTGTGAGTTAGTCCAAAATAATAATCGTAGGCAAAACCAATTCCTTGTCAGGTCATATGACAATATTGTAGGCTCACTTTCAATCATCCGATCTTTAATTGGATGGCTATTCAGTCTCTAGTCTCATATAAATGTATGTGTATAAGGACCATAGATAGCTCTCTCAAACTCAAAAGGTTTTTTTGACTTTTTATTTTTCTTCTTTTTGTGGATATATATTTTTGATTTATAGATAAAATAGCAATATCCCCAAATATTATAGACATATACTATAAGAGTGCTTGAAAGAAGAATAACATCCCTAACACTTACTTGAAATCAGGGGTGTGAACAATCTTTCTACAACCACTTATAGCTGACTCTTTGCCATCCACTTCAAAGAGTTGTGTGTGATGAGATGGGGACTCACACCTCCATTTCTTCAAGGAAGCAACCACTACCTGAGAAAACCTAGACAAAGGGTTTCCACTAGGTGCAAAGTGCCTATACCAAGGGATCCCACTTGGAAACAATAATAAAGCAATGAGGGCTGAGCCACTAGACATCCAAAACCCTAGGGTCCATTTCCCTTCATCTTCAAAATAGGCCAAAATTGTGATAGAAAAGAGAGATCCAAGATTCAATGCCAAGTCAAAATAGCTAAAGAACGCCACTTTTGAGTGCGCTTCTTTCGAGTCCTTCCCATCAAATTGGTCTGCCCCAAATGTGGGTATGGTTGTTTGGTACCCTCCATTACCTAAGGCAATTAGATAGATTGAGACATAAAATACCCCACGTTCTATTGTTGTAGGGTTCTTACATGGGGAACCCCCATGTCCACAACCAAAAGGTTGGAGAAGGAAAGAGTTGGAGATTATGGATAGCATCAGCAACCCCTGTTAGAGAAAATAATGACAAGTTATGTAATGAGAGCATGCACTTTTAGTGATGGCATAATTCAAATCCAAACCAAAATGATAGAAGAATACACCGAAAGAAAATTTTACATAAGGTGATAATTTTATATTATTGAAGTAAGGTATATCTCAAGACCCCATTGAAAAATTGTTGTTATGATGCTGAAAAACCCTTAAATTGATCATCTTGACCTTGAAAAGTATAGATATTAAAAAAAAAAAAACAGAAGGGATTTTGAGTTTTGAAAATAGTGTCTAATAGTGAATTATTTGGACTGTTAATTTTCAAAAAAAATTATTGCATATAGATTTGCTCAATATGCACCACTTTTGAAACTTAAAATTTCATAATTAAATAATTACAATAATTTTTTCTGCTATCACAAGGTTTACTGGCACCATAACTACATCTATTGGCATTGTTTTGTAGTGTCTTGCTTTGATTATCTAAGGTTGATGCCTTGCATAAACCTCACCCTGTACCCAAAGCCTAGAGAGACACTAAGAGGGCATAAACCGGTGATTTGTACTGAGACCGAGACTATATGAGAGAGGAAAAGTCCTTCAAATAGCAAGGTATATAGGCCTGGCACCCTCCTCAATGTACCCTATAATACTATATACCTAATTAATAATCCAAAAACTGGGATGAATGTAAACTCATTGGGCATGAATGGGAAAGGCGATGGGGTTGTGGTGGTAGCATCCTCACACTTTAGTCACCATATTATGGTTTTTATTCCCACTAACACCACCCCGTCAATACCTTCAAAAAAACTAACTCTTCAACTATTTGAATAAACGCCTAGGGACTTGTTTTTCACATTGAATTACCTAAAAAAAAAAATAGGGCATCAATGGGTGTCCCAAAACTGTTTGTATCTAGCAATATTGTAAAGGGATTGTATATACTGAGACCATTTACCTTTGATACAATGTGGTCACAATTACTTACAACCATCTGATGTGAAATTTGATTGCTTAGATGTCTCGCAAAGTTCAAGAAATTTTATTTTTGAATTTTGAGTTTGGTCAATGAAATAAATGCAGCCATCCAATTTCACATCCAATGGTCAAGATTAGTTGTGACCAGCTTGTACTAAAAATAAATGGTCTCATTCTATATTTTTCCTACCGTAAAAAAAGAGCCTCTACTGCCATTGGGCTTTGCTTTATTTGGATTTGCTATTTCATTATATTTTTAAGAGTCGTGCTCTTTAAGAGTCGTGCTCTCGCACTTTTCAAGCAAATAATAAATATATGCACACACATATATAATCTAATTTAAAAAATTTAAAAAAAGAAGAGCAAATACAAAAATAAACCTCTTACTCTAAATCCACTCCTATTTCATCAACCACACATGAAATCACTCTCTCCCTCTGTTGCACTATCACATAATTAGTCCACTTTCATGATAGTGCATAAATATACAATCTTGTAAAACGACTCAAATCTCTCTCACCCTCTTTTAGTAAAATAGAAATCTCTCTTTCTCTCTCTCACAGACAACACATTTCGGGCGTTTCATTATTATCTCGATAAAAACCGTGCATGTTAAAACTCGAACATAAGATGAAAGTAAAATTAGCAATTTGAATTTGAAATAAGCATTTCAATTGCGTAAAAACAAACCTAAAAATTGCAGTAAAGCAAATAGGGAGCAATTTGCAAGTAGTTGATTAGGAATATGCAGTTAAAAATATTAAGTTGGGTAGTGAGTTTTGATATTTCAATTTTGGCTTGCATCAAAAATTGTTTTCAACTCTGTCATTAATAAAAAAATTAATATACTTATATATTTATTTTATATAATTTAAATTCAAAATTTATCAATTTCTATAGGAATCTATTTTACAAAAAATAATATATTTAATTCAATATATAAAGTCTTGATAATTATATGATATATTAACGAATAAAAAGCCAAATACAATAATATCCCTATAAAACTCAATGATAATATATCATCATCATCAGCTAGGTCTTATCTCAATTATTTAGGGTTGGCCAGATGAATTCTGTTTGATCGATAATATATGATATCAATAATTGTCATTAAGCTAAAAAAATGAAATTGATAATAGAAGTTGGAGTCTTTTTCTTACAAAGACAAAGATGAGCTGAAAGACAACACAGGTCTTGTACCTCCCCCAGTAAGAATCACTCAAAAATGCTCCAATTAATGAAAATATGTTAACAGTGCCTGTCCACTTGCTAACGTTGTTGGCTGCCTCAGCATTGCCTTGCTTCAATACCCGTGTCAAAAACAATACCAAGTTCACCTCAACCCCATAGAAGGCTAAAGTTGCCAGCCCTTGGTTCACTGTGTGATCAAATTTTAAAGAGAGAAGAAATGAATAAGTTTTTAAAATTTGTTTTTGCAATATAGAGAGAGATAATTTCATAACACTATTTGACAGATCAAAATATCTTAGGATTCATGATAATATGTGGTAAAGTTTTACGTTGGTTGCCTACTTAATGCAACTCACTTTTTTTATTTGAGCTTAAAACGGATTAATGAAAAGTTTAAGGTAGACCAAAACATCTATTTGAAGAAAAACAAACATGAGAGGGAGACACCCTTGAAAGATCGACACATGAGAAAACCACTCATCCCCCCATTTCTTAGAAAGAGAGAGAGACATGGATAGAAGCACCACTTGCAGAAAAGAAATTGGAAAATTAATTGATACCATGTGGAGAATAACCATAAAGTTTTATTAGTTTGTTTCAAGGTTTAAAAAATAGGCGACTGGGTGGTTCGGATTAGGAACCAGTCAGACTGATCTGATTATGCTAAAATATCGGGTATCAGCTCCTGGGAACCGATTGGTTCTGTCAAAGAAATAGTCTTATTTTATTTTTTTAATATTTTTCCAACTTTTTTTGTTATCTATTTTTCAAAAAAAATTATTGGCCAGTGCTCGATCTGAACGTCAATCTGGACGGCAATTGAGGTCACCATCCGTAATTTTAAACCTTGGTTTATTTTAAAAATGAACCTTTAAAATATCTAGAGAGAAAGAGAGAGAGAGAGGTGACCTTTAAAATACTGACATATATTTCGAGACAGAATAAGAAATTTATATAAAGTGTCAACCTGTTATGTGGAAGTAAGGTGCACCTAAAAAGTTCACCCAAAAAGGTTGCTTTGGTGATAAAAAACCTTACAATTGATCAACTCAACCTCAAATGTATGAATATTAAAGAAAAAAAAAAAAAAAGATTTCAAATCACAAAAATAGTAGATTTTGTAACACTTTATATAGATTGTCTAATGCCAGTAAAAATTGGATTTTTAAATTTTTTTTATTTTTATATGTTTGAAATTTTAAAAACTGTGTTATTGGGTTTTTTGTTTTTTTTAGGGCTATTATTGGTTTTTTTTTTTTTAGCTTTAGAGATTTAAGAGATAGAATCAAAATTTTATTTTTTAAAAAGATTTGGACAAAGGTCGGGTTCGTTAGGATGTACTTGGTTTTAACATGAGGTTAGCATGGTTAGATTGTTAAGGACTAGGGTGAATTCATTCCATGAGTTGGGATGATGAATTTGAGAGAGATTTATGGGTTAGAAATAGAGAGAGACGTGGGAGGGATAGAGTTTAATTTTCTATTTTTATTTTATTTTTGTTTATTAATCCTTGTAATTTGAATTTAAAGAGAACATGTCCCTTCTTTGTAAAGAGACCCAGAAGATATAATATCTCAAACCATTCTTTTACTAATTTTTTTAGTTTATTATTTTTTCCCTGCATCACCTTTCATTTTCAAAATTTTCAAATATTTATATATTTGCTTGATCTACACCATTTTCAGAACTTTAAATTTTATAATTAAATATGAAAATAAATTTTTTAAACCTTCGTTAGGGTTTCTATCATTGCCATTGCATCTTTTAGTAATTTAGAGGTGCGCCTTAATATAATTATTTAAGGTTGACAACATATACGATCCCCATCCATATATGGAGAGGGAGATATAGAGAAATTTACCTACATATCCCATATAGATATTGTAATTACAAAAATCTCCTAATTTTTGTATAGGGTGAGGTTTGTATAGAGCCTAGGCTCTTAACAATGAAATTAGAGCCTGCCCTCAAATAGTGTCGAGAAATGTGGTTTTGGAAATTTTTGTGATAGCCTTAAAATATAGTTTCATCTTTATTTATAAAGTTTAAAGCTTCAAAAATAGTGTAAATCGACAGATCTATAAAAACTTGAAAATCTTGAAAATTAATTGTCCAAAAATGCATTACAAAATACACTATTTCCAAAACTTGAAATCCATTTTTTTCTCATGTCTATGCATCTTGATGTTGAGATGATCAATTTGAGGATATTTGGGCATAAAATAATCTCTTCTAGTGAAAATTTTGAGGTAGAGTCTAATTTTATTGTTTAGGGCCTCAGCTCTATACAAACTTTTCACTTTTTTCTTTCATTTTTTTTATTTTAATTTTACTCGCACCTGGAGATTGGAAATTTGAAGTTACAAATGACTTTCGGATTTTCAATATCCCTAGCCATATTATTGTTTTTTTTTTTTCCAGCCACTTTTAGGGAAAAAAAAGAAAAACATATGTTACTTTGGATTATTGAAAATCTAGAGTCACTTTTAACTTCGGATTTTGAACCTTCGAAGTTGCATGGAAGTAAACATTTTCTTGCAACTTCGGATATTCAAAATTCCAACTCAAGTGTGACTTATAAATTGTCATTATCCGAAGTAACTTCGGTTTTTCTTTTTAAAAAATGACTTTAAAAATAAACAACTAAGGATATTGAAAATAGAAAGTCATCAATTGGTGTATGAGCTCAGATTTTCAATATCCGGAGTGAGGGTAAATGGGGAAAAAATTAGAGAAAACGTTTCTAATTATAGTATTTGTAACGGATTTTTTTTTTTGGACAAATATTTGTATGAGAAATACTGAGAGTGAGATACATATATAACCTGAGGGAGAGAGAGAGAGAGAGTGAGTGTGTGTGTTATGGGCATTACCCAATAAGAGAGATCCAGCTTTCCACCCTCCTGTTTTTGCCTTGATCGCTGGCCGTCTATACCAATCAACAGAGGCATCTCTTGTGTACATTTCACTTTTACTCTCTTTTTCTTCCGTGCTCACTACTTCCTTTCCTGGTTTTTTTTTCTAAAAAAAATATATAACAATATTCAAAATTTTCAATATGCATGAAAAAGAACTTGTTAAAAATAATAATAATAATAGATGTATAAATAGGGATTTGGACTTCTACCATGAGAATGAAATCAAAAATTTCATCGTAGGGCTCATTAATGCTATCACCAAGGCCCCAACCTATTCTCAACTTCTAAAGCAGTAGAGATACATGCTAACATCACACTCTCTCTAAGGCAGTATTCAAATCTCTCTCTATCACACTCTTTCAAAGGCAATATTCAAATCTCTCTCTCTCTCTCTATGACAGTATTCAAATCTCTCTCTCTCTCTAGCACACTCTTTTTAAGGCAGTATTGAAATATCTCTCTCTATCACACTCTTTTTAAGTTAGTATTCAAAATTTCAAATCTCTCTCTAACACACACTCTCTAACGCAGTATTCAAAGAAGACTATAAGAGATGAGAGAGAGTTGAGGAGGGTAGAGAGAAAAGAGAGGAATAGGGAGAAGGAAGAAGAGGGGGAAAGCGTGAATATATGAGTTCAGAATTATGAGAGTTTGGAGAAGAACAAATATGTCCTTTCTCAGCTTTATCAAATATTTACATGTTATTTTTGAGAAAAATTTGTATAGAACTCTAATTCCTTATATTATTTCATGGTAGGCTTTCTTTCTGTTTTCTTTCAAACAGCATAAAGAAACCTTAAAAGATTTCAACATACCTCCCCATCTTTTATTTGTCTTTTTTATTTACTTATCTCTCTTTTATTGACTTTTGATCATAAAAATTAGCTCCCAACAAATCTTTTTATATCATTTCAACTAAAAAAACTTTTTTAACCCTCTTTTTTTTTTTACACCAAATAAAAAGTTTTTGGGTTGAAATAATATAAAAATATTTTTGAGATTAATTTTTATTATCAAAAGTAAATAAAAGAGGGAGATAAGAGATGAGGGGTATGGTGAAATCTTTAGGGACTTCCTTATGACACTTGAAAAAAAAACGGAAAGAAGGTCTACCATGAAATAATATGAGGAATTAGGGTTCTATACAAAATTTTCCCTTTTATCTTTTTGCTTGGCACTTTTCAAAACAACCATTGTGTATATGTACCTGAACATGCTTTGTCGTCCTTCAAGGACTATTCGATAATTTGTAGTCCATGACGACCATCATTCTTTCGTTCTCTCCATTTTATGGTACCTTCACTTTTGGTTCATGGTTTAATGCCATATCTCATTTAACACGGCTATCTTTTATCAAAGGTTTTTTTTTTTTTCTTTAAGAGCGATTTATTACGGCCCTTGAAATAAATATTAAAATATGATTTGCTCTTTTTATATTTGAAAATTACCAACCTATGATAATTTTAAAAAAAATTTGCCCCTTGGACCTTTGACTGCGTTTTAATTTCTTCTTTTTTTTATTATTTCTTTAGTAGGGCACTGTCTCGAATTTTAAGGCCATTGCCCAGGAGGCCCGAGGATAGCATTCTTGGACCTTGTTGAAGATCACAGCTTAATTTAAAAGGGTTTGAGGATGGAATTCTCAAATCGTGTTGATTTTCACTGAAATTAAAAAAAGACGGTCTAAGAATGTAGACCTTGGACCGCATTTGGAATGATTAAAACGATAGCAGCCCAAGGATTTTAACCTTGAAAAATAAGTTGTAGTCCAAAGATTCTGACCTCGGACTGAAGTTTTTTAAAAAATATATTGCAGTCGAAGATTTCAGACCTCAGACTGCCTTAAACAAGAACTTTGTTCAATTCAGAGGCGGTCCAAGGATTCCAACCTCGAACTGCCTAAGCAGTGCCCCTAAAACTAAGATAAGTGCCCTATTAAACAAATAACAAAAATATATATATGTATATTAAAATGCGGTTCGAAGATTGTATCCTCAGGTCAATTTTTTTCAAAAAAGAAAGGTACGTAAATTGGGTGTAAGGAGAGCCAACCGTATTTTAGTATTTATTGTAGGGGCTGTACGTAAATCGCTCTTTTTTTAATACTCATCTTTATTTCCTTCCCCACGTAACGCGGTGTTCTTATTTTATTAATATAAAGGTTTGAAAGGGGTACAGCACCTTGGGTGTTTTAGAAGAATCCTCTCTCCTATAAACAAAGGTGAGGCCTCCTTCATAGGAACCGGAAGAGTTCCAGGGAGCTCGTGGGACCTCATTTTATTGAGGAAATACTGGTATTTTATTTAGGTTTTGAAGCAAGGTACGTATTTTTTTTTTTTTTAATATTGCACTGTATAAGAAATTTTTATGATTATTTTTGGTGTCATTTTATAACCTCCGAAAGCTGATCTAATTTCTACAAAAATTTAGCTAAGACTAAAAGTGTTTCTTGTCATCAACCTCTAAATGATATAGTTCCTACATAAATTTAACGGGGACTTTGGAATTTTGTCAGAGATGTAGACAGAAATTGAGTCCATTTAAGGGAAGGTTTTGCCAAAATTTTAGGACGAAAGTGTTAGCAAATTAGTTGATGCCAAAAAAATTTATTCCTAAGAAAATTTTATTCCTATATATTTTATCCAATCGAAGTTTGTTAAAGATAATTTATAGTGAGAGAGAAGTTTGCTTCAATCGATATTTATTGGTGTTATACTAATGGGAAGATAATTTGAAGTGTGAAAGAGAAGCTTCTTTCCGATCAATATTTATGGTATCATTTTAATTGGAAAGACATATCCGTAATTTTGAAACAGTGGTTTTATATGGGTCTCTTGACTGTGCAACACAGGAACTCAAGACAATCTAACTATATCCTGAGAGTGTACTCGTCGGGACCCATTTACACCTTAGAATTTTACCGAGAGAAACACTTTGAAAAAGGTGGGTCTATTCATGTCAAAATCCTCCGATTTTCATTCCAATTATATGGACTAAAACAAATAATAATAATATTCAGCCTGAAGATTCCATCCTCAGACCAAAAAGTAATTTTGAAAAAAAAAAACAGGTTGATCAATGGTTTTTGTAATTTTTAATTAATAAACCGAGCATTTCGTATTTTAGAAAAAAATTTAAGGTCTGTATGTAAATTACTTAAAGGAATAAGAAGATATTTTTCTCCCACTATTACACGCGGGCGTGTATGAAACATAAAGGCCGGGGACGAGGAGCCTTGTGATTTTAGAGGGAGAAACTTCTTTGCTCTTTGCTAGGTGTTGACCAAGAAAGCATTATGCATGTTTAAAATGGCTTTATACAAAACTACCTAAATTTATAAATAAATAATTGCCACGAGGAAATCTGATTTTAGAGTCTTCATCATCATCATCATTCAAGTTTTATCTCAATTATTTAGGGTCCGCTGGTTCTAGAGACTTAAAGTGGAAATTTGGATGAGGACTGTTAACCCTAGAAGAGGTGGTTTTGTAGATTTCTGGAAGAGATTTACTGTCTTGGGTGGTACCATGCATCCTTATCTTTTGGGGTGCATTTTTTGGTCTCTTAGCCTGTGTTTCCAAATCTAGTGGTCAATATCAAGAGTGCCAATCCAGATATGGAAACAACATGATTGAACTGGTTTTGGAAAGATATCAATACCAACTAAGTCCTCACCTAAAACCCTCTTCCATATTTTTTTTTTTTCTCTTTTAAAGATTATCTAATATTCTTAGGTCCCTCAAATCCCCTGTGAACCCCTATTTTATTTTGAACTTTTTAATATTTTTTCGGATCACCAATCTAAAATGATCCTGACCGGCTATTAAGCAATTTGATACCGATATGTGAGATGGACAATCTATCCCACCGATCAAGATTCTGAAAACTGCTCATAGTTAATCTCCTTATTGAACATGGAATTAACTGCAATGCTGGGGATAATCTAGGTCGGATGACTGCTAACCGGGTCTATCTCCATTATCAGTCTGGCTAAGTGAGAAGCTATTCTGCTTGGCGGCATGCTCATTTTGGGCTAGTCATAGTATGTATACTTGAGATTTAGAGGATTGGATGGTTTTTCTTTTGGATTAGGATTGGAATATGTGCCTATAAATTTATTTTAAATACTTTTATGAGGGACATTGTCAAACAACATATCAAAATTAAATTCATTGAGATAATATATTATTAGTGATATTTTTCCTTACTCTAAATCTGACGTCAATCTAACATTGGAAAATGAAGTGCAAACAGAGAGAGAAGGGTTAAACGGCACCTGCCAAACATACAAAGTTAGGCAACACCATTATGATTAATCAGGTTTAGGGAAGGTGTATGATGGGCATCGAAACCGACATTTCAAGAAAAAATTAGAATTAGGCTTGAATTGCGTAGTCTAATTTTGATTAGGATGATGCTTAGTTTGATTGGAGTACAATTAATGAACTAAGAAAATTAAGAAACTAAATAAGCCAAGCAACTAGGGGCTGTCACTTGGTGTGACGAGAAAGGGCTCGGGTAGCCAGTGCAAGAGCGAGGGTTAGAGTCTTGAGAGCGGCCACTTTGTGCATAAGCCAAAGGTTAGGACTGTTTTCAGCCCAACCCCCCGAGACCCGGCTTAGGCGGGACCAGTATCGGGTTACGGCTTTTTTAGATAAGCGAAGCTAACTCCTAGGTTCTTTGAACTTTGGAGTTGCCCACCTCTCGATCCAAATTCGACTTGGCCAATTCGAAGTCACATCAACCAAAAAAAAAATGGTAAGCCAATGGCCAATACAAACGCTATATATTTTAAAAATAGTCAAATTTTTTAATGCGTTAGTGAGAATGAATGGCAATGATACAGACTTTCAACTTGGGCATGGTGGTACTACCAGCATGACCTAGCCCCATTCTCAACTGAACAATTTTTAAGACACGATGTTTAAAGCACTAGTGTAAAATTAAACTAGGTATTTCTTTTTAGAGAAGTGCACAGTAGTTATTTCATTAAAATAATGAAGTCGTACAACAGGAACAAAACAAAAGGGACACAAAAACAAAGAAATGAAGAGAAAAGAAATAAAGGATACAATCAAACATAAGCCCGACCTAGGCAGTAGCGGCTTTTGCAAGACAACCAACTGCTATGTTGAAGCTTCTCTTAACATGGCACATGGGACCCCAATGTTAGAATGATATCATCCATTATACCACTAAAGTTCCACGGGCACCATTTGATGCCGTTTTGCTAAATCTCCTTCAATAATCGCCTTAAGATGATAAGGGGAAAGACTGTCCACTCCCATTTTAAGTTCCCAAAGCTCCGTTTCATTAATCTCACACGCATGCATTCTCCCTTGATAAGACCAAATAGTCAATCCAAAGTTAATCGATACCTAGAGAGGAAAATGGTAAGGTCCAAATCTGTTGCAATAGTTTTGAGATACCCTCAGGACGGGGAGTCAACTAACACATGATAGTGCTCAACCAATCCCAAATTCTTTCTACAAAGGGCATTACAAGAAAAGGTGGTTAATAGATTCTTCTACATTTTTACAAATAAAAGAAACGCTCGGCAAGCATAACCCCAACCTCCTTAAATCTGTCACCTGAGAGCAGCCGTTTGTATCCAAGCAGCCACAGGAACGATTTCACCCTGCTTGGTGCTTTACATCTCCAGAATTTTGCAAGGTGGTTGTGGCTTTGAATGAATCGATTCGTGAAAAGCACCTCGTACAGAGACCTAATAGAAAAGGAGCCACTTGGTTCCAAATTAAACTAGGTTTTGTATAATTAGAGTAGTTTGGGTTGCCTTGGAAAGTTGAGTTCACCTTGATTGGTGACAATTAACCCTCATGGAAATGATGGTCAACGATATACATCCATTGCACACAAACACATATGCAAATGCTAAATGATAAAACGGATTGCACATATGCAAATGCTAAATGATAAAACGGATTGTCTATTACGTGACGATTTATTTTTGTTATAAAGAGGTCACAATTGCTATAGTCATTAAATGTTAAATTAAATAGTTAAAGTGTATCACAAAGTTCAAATTTTTATTTTTAAACTTTGAGTCTATTCAATTACACACAATCAAGACAGACAAGAATAACATAGTCCTCCTTGCATTAAAAATAAATGATCTCTTTATATACTTTTTACAAAATTATTACATACGAAAATGATAAAACAAAGTAGCGTTCTTGTACAAAGGAGAATGACACTCTCATATAAAGGTCCCAAAGTCCGACATTTTCGGCCCTTACAAATATGAGCCTTACCTGCCAAAAGTTTCTTGTAAAGAAGTCCATTCCGATTCTCCTGAGCATTAAATTT